CTGCCCCCAAAAGAAAAAAATCTCTCAAAAAAAAAAAAATGACCGATTGAATATAGCATAAGAAAGAAAGGGAGGGAAAGGAAGGAAGAAAAGAAAAAAGAAAAGAAAGGAGAAAGAAATAAGTAGAGTCAAAATTAATAGTACATATTATAATGTGGTGTTCTAATGATGAATATGGTATTATCCTTGATTTGATTATCATACACTGCATGCATGCTTTGAAATTTTATATTTTTCTCCACAAACATGTATAAAAGTAAACAAGAAATTATAAGCTAAAATAGAAAAAATAAGTGGAAACTTTAAGAGGTAGTTAGGTCATGTACCAATGCCATAGGAATGCATTAGTATTAGTGAGGGCAGAAGTGGGACTATTCCTAAAGTGCCTCTTGCTTTCTATCTTATGCTTTCACTCCCTCCAGCCTCTCTTCTTTCATGAGATGATCCTCACCAGATGCCTGTGCCATCTCTTGCACTTCCCATTCTCCACCACTGTGAGCCAAATAAATTGTTCTGCATGAACTGCCCCGTCTCTAGTATTCTGTTATAGCAACAGGAAACAGACCAGGACAGAATCTAAATATGTAAATTGGTAACTTTTATTCCTCTGTCACTACTGTGAGTACCAATCAGAAGAGACAGTATTGTCTACCTAGTATTTCAAAATAATATCATAGTAATAATATGGTGAGGAGAGTATAAAAATTAGTGAAGGCTGATTAGTGAGAACACATGAGCTTCCATTCCTTTATTGCCACTCCCTAAAGCCCCCAGAGCTTGGGAACTTATGAAGTATAAATCTAAAGAGGCATATCGAAATGGTCTCATTGTAAGCCAAACAATATGATTGAAAGTATATACAAAAAAATAAAATAAAGAAAAAAATTTTAAAAAGAGGCAGTCTTCTCTCAATGCTGCTTCCAGCGAAGAGATTAATATAGTACTCAAAAAGAAGATAGAATTTCTAACCCAAGTAAGGTGTAACAACAAGATGGTTATGGACAGTTCTGAAGTGACTTGGACTCTCTAGCCTGAGGATCATCTTCACCCAATTTTTTACATTTGCCCAGAAGATCACAACCAGGGCATAAGCTCCTACCCATACCTCTCACAAGATACTGACAATGAAGCTATTCTGGGGTTGTGTGCTCTCAAATAAAACCAGCCACTCACGTGAGAAATAGATCCACTGGATAACACTATGAACAAATAAACTATATAAAAAAGAATTGCTAGAAAACAACATCAAAACTAATTCCCTCAAGAAGATAGAAGAGAATACATTATAAAATAATGTGGTAAAAAAAAATTCTGTTGAAAAACATACTAAGTGAAATAAAGAATAAAACAAAGGAGACTAATACCAGACTAGAAGATAAGATTTGACAAACGCTACAATAAGACATCAATAAATAAATAGAAAAAATTAGATAGA